ACTCGTCATAGGCAATAGACTGCAGCATCAGAGAGAGCGGGCGCGGCGCTTCATGTTGCATCTGGGAACCTGGGGAAGTTACACAACACCGCCTCCAAAGTGGATACGCGGGGGTCATGAGGTGGTTGACCCCATCTTCCCCCAAAGATGCCCCAGTTTCTGCGGTCCCGAGTAGGTGATGCGGTGAGGAGACTGCATCCGAGTTCCGACGTGTGTGCTCCGAAGCCCTGTCGACAGGTCACCTATATGGCCTGTCGGGATGTCCTCGATGGTTCAATCACCAGCAGCAGTGGTCTTAGAGCCATCGCAATCGCCATTGTGACGGAGATCCCACTGTCCTGGGCTAACCTGAGGCTCGGAACCAGCGCCGGATATTCTTTGTCCGTGTCCGTACTGCATGCTCATGCCCAATTCTCAGGGCTGATACCAATGTTGCCCACACTCCATCGGTCCAAGTCCATGTTCCCGTCCTCATCACGCTCCTTCTCATCAATGGGCCTCGCAAACTCGGTCAGAAACCGTAGCATCCAGCGGTCCATGCGGTAGCTCGTGTTCATGCTCTTGCGACATAGCTCGTGGAAAGTCTTGAGGCGGACGAAGCACACCTCGAGCCCTGGCCAGTACACCCGCAAGGCCACGAGGGTGTTGAAGTGGCGCTCCAGGGTTGCCCGCGCGTTGGCAATTTCGGCCTCGTCGGTCTCGAAAAGCAGCGTGTGGATGAAGATGGACGACGTGATGACGATGATGTGGCCCAGCATGTTGAACTTGGCGTCACAGCCAGGCGTGGTGTTGGCGAGGTCGATGATACGCGACATGGAGACGGCGTTCTCTTTGCATTTCCGGGCAAAGATCTGGGCGGTCGGGGAGGCGGGAAAGCGCTGGACCTCATCTAGATACTGATAGAAGAGCAACTGACTGTAGTGGTAGTGACCCGTGTGCACAGCGATGAAGATACGGCCCAGGCCTTGGGCGGCGAAAGAATGCAGGTTGCTTGGGGTATCGCGGAGACTTGGGGGAAGCTCAAGCTCCCAGGCCTCAAGTTCCTGCGCGAGGGTCGAGACAGTCTCGTCGATGTTTGTTACTGTGGAGTCTGATGTGAGAGACTTGATGGCGTCGTTGACCTTTAGCAGGATGCTGTTAAGCTTGATCATCTGGGCTATGAGCGAGTCTTCCCGGTTTGGTGACAGGATAAAGTCAAAGTGGTTGTTGTTCGCACGGGTCATATTGAGGAAAGTTGACTCGTTCATCGGTAACGGGACGTCCATTCGCCGTTCCATGAGACGCGGAAGGTTGACACCAGTTGATGACCAGACATCAATCATGCAGAGCGACCAGTAAACTACGGGTGTGAGCGGGCGAAACAGCCTCAACGTACGCATGAGTTACGGCACGTACCTCTAATATGAATCTCCCTCTGCAGCGGGTCCGGCGTGGGCAGGTTGGGGAGGTCGAGATAGTTGGCTATCCTACATGCTGCTGAGTAGAAGACGCTTTCTGCGCCTGCCTCTCCTTCTACAATGGAATATGCACCAAGTAGGACACATGCCTGTATGCTCGTGAGAGATACATCTCGAAGGTTGAGCAGCATGTTGCACTCGTTGGCAAAGAGCTCTCCCCTCGATATCGGAGCAATGCCATTGAAGATAGGATTTGAGGAGAACCTTAGGCAAGTTAGTAAGGATTCGCTGGAGTAAATAGTCTCGATCATGACATACCTTGCTGACAGCGCCATCATGCCATAGACAAGCGCCAGAGGAGCAGTCCCCTCGTGCAGATCCAGCATGAAGCTGGGCCGGTGGAAGAGGGAGTGAAGACAGTCGTGGATGTACTTGAAGTACAACTCCACCAGCTCAAAGCATAGAGCCTTGTCGGAAACAGCAGCGATCGGAGTGATGCCAGGGGGGCTGGCGACGATGATCTCGGTGACAGAGGGCGTCGTCGGCGTCGCGATAGACAGCGGGCTGACGGGCACGGCCTTGGGCTGGATGATGGAGCCGGCGCGTGAACAGGCGATGTTCTGAGTTGCGCAATAGGTGCACTGGCCGCCGCCGATGGGCACCTCGCACTTGCGCCGTCGAGCGCTGCCATGCCGTCGGTGAGCGATGCGATCATCTCCAAAGTCGGACGAGGCCGGGAACGAGGGGAGGAGAGAGAGAGAAGGATTCCCGGGGAGGGTTCGGCTGACGACTTACCGACACGCCGAGCACGCTGTTGAGTATCTCATCGTCGGGGGCTGGGCTGTGGTCGCAAGGGATAGACGGAGGAGAGCCGTGATCAGAGAGAGAGCCAGATCCTGATGGCGAATCGATAGTCCAGTCGAGTCGCGTCCACCACGTCCTTGATATGTCTCTGGCCTGATGTGAAGTTCGCTTTCTTTGAGCAGCAACGGCCGTTCGAGTCGACGTTCGGAATAAGGCGATCAAAAACAGCAAGTCACACGCTCGTTTCCTAGCTCCTTCCTTCCCTCTTTCCCTCCTCCTCCCAGGCAGGTGCAGGCCAGGTCACTCCTGCAGCGGGCAAATTGGCACTGGCCCGGTACGGCTTCTTTCCCCCGCTTTTCAACCCCCACTGGAGCGTCCCCAGTGGCTCGGCTAACGGTGGACGCCCCTCATATATGGGTCTTCTCCGCATGCCTGGGCCGTACGGAGGTTCCGTCTAGCCGGATCCGGTTAGCTCGTGAGTGGATCCCCGATGGATTTGCGGAGCGACGAGCCGAAGGCTTTCTTCTGGCCGATGCCCTCCACGAGTGTCCCCTCCCCAAAAGCTCCTGATCCTGAACTGCACATCCAGTGGTTCAATGTCACGCTCCCCGTACCTGCAATACCGCGCCCGCATAACTCTCCGGGTTCATGGCCCGTCCATCTTTGGTTCAGTTTGATAAACTCGGTATGAGTGAATGCGACTCTGCCAGTCTTGGACACACCTCCGCCCAATCAAGCTCTGAGCCCACCCTCGAGTCCTCCAGGAGACTGTCGAAATGAGGGGCCCTGAAGCCTAATTTTCGCTGGTGGAGGGTTGCGCCGCGCCAGTAGACTATCCTGGTTCGTCCGAAATGCCCGCCGATCGTTCTTGTTCCTGTCATCCCAGGCTTGCTCCAGGATGTATCGATGAGGAAACTCGCTCAAGTTCGACTGACCTCATGCAGCAGCAGACGAAAGCCTCTGCATGTCTCAAAACGCTGATTCCTCATCGTCTCCGTCGTCTCCGAAGGGCCGTGTTCCTGACCCCAGACGGGTGCTCCCGCAACCTTACAATCTCTCGTCTTGCCACGCGGAAAACTAGTGAACCACCCCGTGTCGCGCTCCGGATCGATGCGACCTGGCCGCATGCCTAGAGCGATGCAGCTGCAAGTTTCAGCTTCTTCTCTCCAGATATGACGCCACTTCATCGTTCTGCCTGCTATTCTTGGCCACGGTGGTGTCTTCGGGCTTCCATAATTGGCCTTGGGTGCGACCTCTGTGGTTGAAAACAGCAAACTGGGCTTCAAACTTTCGGCCGAAGCAAGAGGTTATCGAGGCATGTGATCATGTGTTGTCCTACCCAAGCCCTTGATACATCAGTGTGCTGCCCTCTTCTGCGCTCGAGGTTGCAACTCTAGTATGAACGCATCGCATTAGCTTGCGCCCATCTTGAGGATCGACCGAAAGCCGAGGGCATCAGCCCGTCGAGAGGCAGGGTGATGAACGGTTGAATGACAATTGTCTCGGACGAAAACCTGGCCTCTGGGTAAACTGTAAGTTAGCTACTTATACAAGACATCTGGAAAGAACTGAATTTTTACGACTTGTAGTACACAGGTCTCCCCAATGATACCGCACATCATCTTGAATCTGCGGGAACTTGTATTTGACATACTGAGGTAGTCCTTCGTAGGCTGCCGAAGAGATCGGTACCAGAAAAAGCCGGGTTCCTTCCTGTGCAGCCGCCTGACGACGCCGATTCCTGCCGAATTCCTAGGCCAGAGTCGAATTACAGATAAACCCACGTCCTCGTGGAGGCCAGCACCTGATCTGCCCAGTCCTCGTGAGAATACAGCCGAGAGGATAATCAAAACCGACGCAGTCCATGGGGCGGTATTGGATCTGATAACATGGAAAGATCTCGGTGGTTCCCTTCGGCCTAAGGTCGCTTGCGTCGGAGATGATGTATTGCCAGGCGGGTTTCCTCAAAAGACATCGGCATAAAACGTACAGCTCCATTCAAAAGACATGATGAAATTGTTCAAAGCATGCACCCACGCAAAACTCGCGATGAATGTCGAAAACTTTGGAAATCATGCTCGATTCGCAGCCCACGGCCAAAACACTGCCATTATGTACTCTGGTTCCAATCCCGATTTCCGCCAGCGTGGGGACAGGTAGGTGATGATTTCCGCCAGTCCCGTCGAAGCAAAACCGCTAGTGGCGGGAATCCGACCGCTGAGAATGCGGGGAGATCTGCGGGAATGGCACGGCGTCTTCCACTCAATCGGTGCCGTTGGTTCATCTCCCATGCAGGGGTGCCGGATTCTTACAAACGAAGGGTTTGACTGATGACTGGGAGCACCATGAGGAACGCTTTTTTCTGTTGTTATGCGTTTATAATTGTGCCTACTAGCTGGCATGATACAATTTGGCTCGGCAGTTGTCTTCGAGCCGGTCAATGAACCTGGGCTCTTGGTTTCTGTTGTGTGCGTGAAAAGCTCATGCGTGCACCCAATGAAACTCAACAATCTACTCCGACGTCTGATTCCCAACCTGCTGAGAACTATGCAAGCCTAATGTTGTTAACGTCATGGGGGTTTCCCCCATTTCTGAAAAGACATGCTGATATCCGCAATGGAATGGCGGTGGATCATCTTGAGACTCGTCCCCGACCACAACACCAGAACGCTAGCCCCATCTTCGAACCGAAACCAAGTGGGACAGCAAGCCCTCATCTCGCGCACTTCGCTAATCCAATGGAATCATAGTGCCATTGGTGGCGCCGTGTCGCAACAACAAGCGTCCAACGCCCCAGCAGCCTCATTGGCTAAGTGGTATAGCGCCTCACTAGTAATGAGGAGATCGCCTGTTCGATTCAGGCATGAGGCAACTCAGAGGGTTAAATCCCCTCGAGGACCAAGTCTTTTTATCTTTTTTCTCTCAGTTTCTCGTTTTTAGTTTTAATAGGCGTCGGGCGTGCACTCAGATTTTGACAAACCAAAGCCGCCAAACAACACCGGTGCAGAATGAATTTGGGCTTGTCTATTACATAGTATATCTACCTAGTACTAATAGGCTAGATAGACAACGGAAATTTCCTTGCTATAATCAATCTCCCATCATGATACCATCTCCACGATTGACGTCCATCATCTCTGCGACACAGCGGCCAGACCAAAGCTCCCAGTGACGAACACAACATCGTCGACCCAAGAAAGATGATCAACGGCTGGAAGTGGCCAAGCCCGTATTCACTCTTGTTCACTCTGCCCGCCATGAGGGCCGCAGAGATGGGACCGATGAGAATGTTCCCCAGCCCTTTCCCAAAAGCCATCAACGCGTAGACCGGCCCGGGGTCATCAGACAAGACGGACCCGAACCGCTGCCATAAGCACGGGAAACCACCCGTGGCCAGCCCAAAAATAATCGAAAAGACCAGAAGCGATGCCAGCGACGAGCCATAGCCCCAGATCGTGAAGCTGGCCACGGCAGCCGAGAAGGAGGACACGAATACCAGAGTGAGCACGTTCTTGACGCGGTCCGAGACGTAGCCGAGGGCGAGCTGGCCGAATATCATGGCGAGATTGTTTGCAGCGAGGATTAATGCGCCCGTTGTCCCAGAGAGGCCTAAGGAAGTTGCATATGTCGGCAGGTAGAGGGATGGGATGTAGTAGCCCAGAGCCTCCAGGAGGTTGACGAACGCGAAACAGTAAAAAAGCGGTTTCTTGAAGAATGTAAAGTCATCTTTGCGAAGCGTACCTTGCCTGGAGACCGGCAAGCGCCCCTTGAGGAGCGGTATCACCGGCAAAATGGTAACGAATTGGACAACCGCCATTGCCCGCAGCGTAGTTTGATAACCATACTTCGCCAGCAGCCACTCCAGGAGAAAGGGAAGGCCCACACCACTGCATCCAGCGCCAGTCGACATGATACCGAAGGCAAACCCCCGTCGATGGACGAACCACTCATTCAGCATGCGGAGGACGGGGTAGTACAGCAGGGTAAACGCGAAGCCGTAGAGGACACCCTGCGTGGCAACCAAGCCGGGCACTGATGACATGAACGATGCGGCAGCGAGTGAAACGCAGCAGCCCAGCCAGCCGACGACAATCATATGTCGCTGCCACGCCTGAAAGCGCGCCACCAGAGGTGTCGCTATCGGGCCGCCGAGGAAGTAGACGCTCGTCGCTACGGTGCCGATCACGGCCATGTTGGAGTCTTGCTGGAAACTTGGGTGTTTGGTGTAGTAATCCTGGAACACGCCGTATGAAAGCGGAAATCCTTCGCAGATACGTGAGCAAAACGACCCATTCGAATGACTGAAAGTCACGTACCCCATAACACCGCCTCGACGATGAAGGAACCAAACAGGAACTTCCAGGCAAGCGTGCCTTTATCTGCGGGGGGCAAGGATTGAGCGGAGGTATCATCGTTGGTGATCGCTGGATCTTGGGCTACGCCTTGAAGCTCAACAATCTGCGTTTCTGAAGACATCGTGTCAGAGGACTCCAATGTAGGTAATGGTTGTGAGGAAGAAGAGTGGGTGAACTGCGATATCGAAGCAACGGCAACCCGTCTTCTTATGTAAATTTGAAGCCCGGTCATTGGGTCTTCCATGCGGGATTATTTCCGAAGTTGCATTTCCGCCAGCTTGGCAATAGCCGGCCAGCTTCGTCATTTGTTTCTATGGTAGCCGCGGGCTACATCCAGAATCGCTGCAGGTTCAAGAAGCGTACACATCTGTACCTTCCTTCGACCTTGACAGGTATTTGGTGGTTTAGCACATGCTTGGCTTCTCGCTACGGCCAGACAAGTATTCTACGCGACTTGAAACGTGGTGGTCTACCGTCATTCAACATCCAAAGATTATGTACGCACAAGTCTTCGAGCGATGTGACAACAGTTCAAGGTTATTCTATTTTTGTTTTCTCTCAATCTTTCTCAGGACTCTAGCAGGGTTTCCAGCAACTACGTGGTAAGGCGGGACGTCCTGAATAATGTCAGTCCTAGTCAACATCAATTATATCTTCCTCACATGAAGCCTACCTTGGTAACCACGCTCCCTGCTCCCACTACACAGCCATTGCCGATCGTCACACCAGGAAGGATGATGACGTTTCCTGCCAGCCAGCAGTCGTCTCCGATCGTGACAGGCTTTCCATATTCCGGGCCATTCGTGCCATCCCGCAGGTCCGGGTCCAGTGGGTGAGTCCCGCTGTAGAGGGAGACGTTTGGGCCAAACATGGTTCGGGACCCAATTGACACGAGGCACGTATCGATTATCGTGCAGTTGAAGTTGATGAAGACATTCACGCCCACTTTAATGTTTGTTCCATAATCGATGTTGATGGGCCTCTCAATCCAGGGATAGCTTTGCAATATCTGATCGTCTTCCTCAATCGATGCTCCTGGGTCAGGAAGCGGGGTGTCGTCATTCGTGATCCTGCCCGGTTGTTGTTATTCACTGAGACCCTCAAGGGAACGAAGGGTGAAGGAAAACAAAGACGCCCGCCACGCACTCTTTCCAATGCTGCGCTATTTCTCGCCTGGTCAAGTCGCCTGCCCTGTTGAACTGGCCGACTGCTTCGCCACAGCGTCGTCTGGCTGCCACAAGATTGGGGGTGAAAGCATAGTACAGCTCGCCCCGCTCCATGCGGGCGAGGTTATCCGCCTCGTCAACGTTGGGGACCATGGCAAAATTGAATTATTCGTCCAAAGAAACCCCGCAAGAAGGCCTCAGAAAACTGAAAATAGAGAGGAACACCTATTTGAAAAGATTGGGGAAGAGACTTAGCTCTTAAGCTTCATGTGAAGACCTCTCAGAACACTTACAACTGCAGCAGGGGAGAGACTGTGGCCCACGAGCTAATCCCTTTTGAGCTTTAACTATGCGCCGGTACGTACCGGCCCAACGCGACAACTTTCCTTTCGCTTTATCCGAGGGCTCGGTGAGGAGTGTTTTCCGTAAACAACGCAAATTTGTATTCCTACCTTACTTACTGCTTCGAGCCAGCCGATCTCGGCTACGTCCACAATTACTGGCTGCATCAATCACTCAAGTCCGAATCTCTGACTTCCTATTCTGGCGTCTCTCAATAGACCAGCCCCTACGCCCTGTGGACCCCGGCTCCCACAGACTGCCACCGAGGGTCCACCAAGTTTCCAGTCTCATCAGTACGACGCAACTTCTCTGGGTCACAAGTCCAACCCAACCAATTCGTTAGCATGAGCAACCCCCAGACGTCGATTTCAAATTCAGAGAGCCCGTCACAAGTACCTTATACGCCAAGTCAACGGTCAAAGACCGGCTGCCAGCAATGTCGCCAACGCAAGAGAAAATGTGACGAAACCCACCCACGCTGTACCTCATGCATCAAACGAGGGCTCTCCTGCAACTGGCAGCCTCCCAAACGCTGTAGTCAGCAGGTCGCTCGCCGCCGCCATGCATTCAACAAAGACTTTGCGGTCCAGTCAGAGATGCGCTCTCTGATCACCGTGTTCGCCCTCCCACCGGCATCTGTACAGGATCGACTTATGTCGCATTTCCGCGCAAAGAGCCCCCGTTGGCTTTCGGCGAGCGGTGGCGAAAGAAGCGAAGACTATTTGGGACTCATCATCCCCGTTGCGGTTCGGAATCCTGTCGTTCTCAATTGCATCCTGGCTTTAGCTGCGGGGGACATGTGCAAGTATGAGCCGGCGAGCTCCAACTTGTTGGGCCTTACGCATGGCTTCTACGGTCAGGCGGTGGCTGGAATCAACGCAGCTCTGAATAAACAGAATGATCGGTCCAAAAATGCGGTCGTTTCATCGCATCTCAGCAATGAAAATGAAGCCTCGCCAAGAGAGGACGTAGTACTTGCAATCATCCTCCTCTGTGTTCATGAGGTGAGCCTCAGCTTGCGGACGGTAAACTCGCAACTAGAATCACTAACCACGCGTAGGCGGTCAACTACACTCACAGTGATAGGCTCATACCCCATGTCAATGCAGTGGCGGCTCTGTGTTCTGGCAGTTGTGAAGACGCGAAGACAGATTCTCCTTTGCGAGCAATCACTATTGAGATATTCTGCTACTTTGCTGCCTTGATATCGTTCTCTCACGGTCGAGAGCTCAAACTCGACTTGGCGTCTCATATTTTCAACTCTCCCACTGTTTGGGGCAACGGGTTTCACGGAACTTTGCTAGTACATCGATGCCGCGAGATCTTTTCAACCATTCTTAAAGTATCTGTTCTCATCAAAGACGCTTCCTTAGTTTCGCCAGTTCCTTACCCTGTTGCCGTCGAGCTTCGAAAATTTGAAAGCCAACTTCTGAGCCTATCAACCGACGCGGAACCCGGTGCCGCAAAAACAAACGAAGACACAACTTCCGAATTGTACCGGCTCGCCTGTCTTGCGTATATTAAGCTACTCCTTACACCAACACTCAGCCATCGCTCGTTAGAAATACAGCTCCTCGTAAGACGGTTTGTTGTCGAGCTCAGCCGTCTGCCATCCGACTCCCCGGCGAACAATATTTTATGCTGGCCACTAGTTGTCATTGGCCTTTGCTCAGTGATGGCGGTTCACCGTCGAGACATTGGAGGGAGGCTGAGAAAAATGCACGAGACTTCGTGGAGGTCCGACATTGTGAGCAGAAGCGCTGAGTTCTTGTCCCAGAGATGGAAAGAGGATGTGCCATGCGATCACGAATGCAGAGAAGAACAGTCTCCAAGTGTAATTCAATGCGCGTGTAACACCTCACGCTGCATCCTGAATGCTGCGAGGCGACACTTTGATGTGCCAATAGTATTACTTTAGTAACAGAGGTCGATATGAGTTCAGGAACGGGAATCCATTCAGATCCTCAAATTACCTAAGAAACATTGAAGCATCGCGCTATCTACGGGC